TATGTCTTATTAGGGCCTCTGGACACCCTCCATATCACTGTACATTTGTAATCTGTTTCTATCCCATGTACACTATAAAACATGTTGTCAGTGTTGCAGAGAGACTATTACATCAAAATGTTCATGACAGCTGCCACAGGTAATAACCACTTTTAAGGAGATGCATAGAACTAGCCATACCACATACTGGGTTGAAGTGTTATGTAGAAGACAGGAGCCAGGAAAAGGAACATTCTTAGAATCATAGAATGGTTTGGGTTGAAAAGGGCCTTTAAAGACTATCTGGTCCAACAAAGGACTATTGGTCCAACACACTTACCATGAGCCCAAAGACACAATTAGAACACAAATGGATTCCCACCACCATGTGCTGATCCGTCTCTATCCAGGTGAATGCACACCAAGCACGTGGGACTGCATAGCACTTGATTTCTGTCAAAGCTTCCCAACCACCAAACCTCCATCTTTCAGTACACCAGGTTGCTCAAAGCCCCATCCAACCTGACTTTGAACTCTTCCAGGGATGGGGCATCCACAACTTTTCTGGGCAACCTGCTCCAGTGTCTCACCACCCTTCTTTATATCCAATCTAAACCTATTCTCTTTCAGTTTAACAGTTGCCCCAGTCCTGTCACTACAGGCCCTGGTAAAAAGTCTCTCTCCATCTTTCTTGTAAACCCCCTTTATATACTGAAAGGCTGCAATAAGAACTCCCCAAAGCCTTCTCCAGGCTGAACAACCCCAACTTTCTCAGCCTTTCTTTATGGGAGAGGTGTTACAGCCCTCTGATCATTTTCATGGCCTACTTCCACCACTTCTTTTTGTATCATAACTTACTAAGTTCTGCTGACATCCCCTCCACCCACATACATTTGCAAGCAAAAGCAGAAGGCTTGTCAACTGTTTCTCAAAGATACACACACACATATATCCATACACATTGATTTGGATCTACAGGGAAATGGACTAGGACTGTTCAGAACAAGAAGCCCATTTTAACGCTTTACACATCCTCTATTCTCTTGCAGAGATATCCAGCATATTGGCATCACCCTCGTTGGTCACCAGAAAAAGATTCTAAACAGCATCCAGCTCATGCGAGTCTATTTGAATCAGCTTGAACCAGTTGAAGTGTGATGATTACACCATCCTTATTCTGCTAGTCTCAAACTCTGGAAAGGTTCTGGGGGAATTCAGAGGGATTTTCACTGTAAGAAAAAGAGATGTCAGTATGCTACTTGATAACTTAATGCACCCAGAGAGTGTACGCTACATGTCCTGTTCCACAAACAGAAACGGCCTTGCCATGATTTGAAAGTAGAGCTAAATAACTGGTGGCATTTAAATGTGGCTGACATCATATATTGGGAATGGGTTGGGGGAGGGGAAGTTATAATAACAGGGGGAAGAGATGGAATAATAGCTTGGATAAATCACAAGCACCTGTTGCCTCTACCAACAAAAGGTATCGGACAACTTTACAAAGCCATCAGCAGGCTTCATCTGTGTCTGGGAGCCCAACAAAGATAGAAAGACATAATAAAAGCACAAAAAATTACCATTTTTTCCAAAAGAATGCCATCACGGTGTGAGAGATTATTACTCAGATGGAGGTGAGCATCAGGCTATGACTTGGTCCAGAACTCAAGTTCCAGTTAGTGTACAATAGGTGGTAAGCAATGAGGTGTGTCACCTGGTAAAGGGCTCAAAATTCTGTGCCATTTCATGTGCAGTGCTTGGGTCTGCTCCATGATCAAGGAGGGAGACTTACTAATGCTTTGTGCTGACGCAAGGAACAGCAAGTCCTTGGTGCTATGTAACTATTTATGGGACTGCAACAGAATGGAACAATAAGGATTCCTAGAATCCATACTGCTGAATCTGCAAGTGGAAAGGGAAATAAATAGGTTCTGGTCCTCACAAGCCCATTCTTGAGAGGAAAGGCATAATATTCTGATATTCTGAAATCCCAAGCACCCAGAATTTGGGTTTTTTTCTCTTCTGACCCCCTTGCAGACATTGAAGAGTGTGAAGAGAAAAAAAAACCTGAAGCCCTTTTCTGTTGAAAAATACTTGTTCTTTTCTTACCCTAACCAGCTACATCAATGTGCACAGCTGGCTGAATATTGTTTCTGAAGAAAATGTAAACCTGCAGTAGTCAACTCCAAATAGACAATTTGAACAAGGGAGGTGAAGCTCTTTTACAGGAGTGATCAGGGAAGGACACCAGTCTCACAAGTGATTTCAATCCTTAAAAAATGAGTAACAATGTCCTTGGGATCAACTATGTAGTCTGGTAGAGGTGTATGAGAGTAACTAGAATGGCAGAAGTTATGTCTCCCTTCAGACAGACTAGTACCTGCTTAAAGAAAGATCTTCTTTGAGGAAGAGCAGAGCTTCAGGACTGTATCTGTGTATCTATCCCTATGCAGGAGTATGAAAATATGAAGCTGAGCTTGAGAGGAGAACTCAAACAATGCAGTTGTTCACCTCACCAACACATAGGAAGGGAAATGGAAATGGCGTTGTTAAGCAAGACCCCGATGAAGACATTACATAAAAAGATACTTTCTTTGTGTCTAGAGAAGAAGTAACCGTAGCTATTCCAATCTGTGCCCATCTGTGGGCTCACTGTGAAGTAGTAATGAACCTACTATATTTCTCCAGCTGTCAAGGCTAGAATAGCATGACTTCTGCAGATAATATTCCTGTATGGATTTAAGGATTCTCCTAGTCAACCCAGCAATTGAAGACTGAGAAGCCACGTTGCATAGTTATTGAAGAGTCCCATAATATGATAGCAGGTGCTCCAGAATAGTGGCACTGGAATAGCCAACACAGTTCATGCTCTTTATTACACCATTAGAGTAATATTATTGTTAATTTTTTTTAGTTGAAGAGGGAGAATAGCAGCGTATTCTTTCAAGATATAAAAATTCAATAAAAAACAGTACAAGGAAAGAAGAATAAAACATTCACAGCAGTACAAAGAGAATGTGAAGATTAAAAAAAAACCCAAACACATCAGACTAGAGTGAATCCTACCCTAGAAAATTTGAATCTGTGTGCTTTTTAAGGGGTTTCTACAAGCCTGTAATACTCACAAATCCAGTTACATGTATGCTGACTGACTGTCAGCTTCACCTACAGCATCTGAGACTGAACAAGTGGTGTCCTCTTCAGAAAGCATATTGAGCACAAGATGTTGAGGGGAATCTGTGGTCTCTAGCACCTTCCATATGTATTCACCAGAGGACAACAATGCATGCATGCATATTCATATATGAGTGTATTCTAGAAGTTCTGCGGGCCATTTGGGGAAACATGGCAGGCTATGTTTTCCATGCCTTCAGTGGTCAAGATTAGTGGAGAAATTAGTGATCTAGTTCAAATCCTATGGCCTCCTTCAAGCCTAGTGGAAATTTATATGCAGAAAATACATACTATCTCTTCATGCAATGGGAGACAAAATGGGAGCCTTGTCTGAATGGCATACCAATGACAGTGAGGTTTAATAGCCCCTTATGGGGAACTGCAGTGAAATGGACTGCGTGGTGGTAGTTCAGGCAGTAGGATATTTACTTTTGCATATGAAGTCTATGGCAAAGTTGTTTTCACAGTCAGAGGAAAGGGATTTACTTGCTATACCAAGGCAGGAAAGTAGTGGTTGGACATCATAGATCTCTTCTTCCTCCTGTTCTAAGGCAAGGTTGATATGTACCTATGACAGTTCTCAGGGCTCAAGTCTCAAGATGTCTTGGCTTTGGCTAGAACTGCACAGGGACTGGCATGGGGTTACAGATGGCATGCAAAAGGGTAACTTTTCTGTAAGAAGTCTCCCCATTCTCTTTATTCCCAAGGTTTTCCTTATTTTCAGAGTACTGAACTTCTTCCATAATTTGGGATGCAAAGGCTGTCATGTCACAATGCATCTTGTGTTATTTGTCGTCATGTCAGTCCTCAACTCTGCAAGCACGGAGGAAAGGCATTCATGGCAAAAGCATTAGAAATACCCTGATCTCACTTTTCTCAGTCTTTCTAAAAGCAGAAATCCTACATTCTGTTTCCACAGGCATCATCTGGGATGCCCTGCAGTATATGACCACCCTCAACAGGTAGGGATGAGAATCAGAAGGGAAAGAAATGAGACTCACCTAGACACCTGATACCTGTCCTTCACCAGAAGAGTGAGAAGCAATGCAGGAAAGTCTTAGAGAGACATATTCGTTGCCAGAGAAGCAATAGGAGATTAACCAGTTATTGCCCACATTTACTCCATATGATATTAATCATATGCAGTGCATAAGAAGGCTGAGTAAATTAAATGCACAGGTATGAATGCATAGACCTTCATGAGGGCATTAGACATTTGTATGAAAACTTAGATGTGTCATACCTATAGTTGGAAAGATTATATTGCAAAGACTAGTAGCTCTTCCACTTCAACATCAACTTTTCACTATCTGGAAACAGAAAGAAACTTCACCTTAAGGCAGGCTGTTCTGTAATTATTCCTGATGAGGTTCCTTGCACCTACCTTTTTGGTGCCTGTTGCTGGACAGTCTCCCAGACAGACAACTGGGTCTGCACCAGTATGTCAGTTAATATATCGTGCTGCCAAAGAGCATGCCAGGCAAGCAAGTTCACACCTATGCCGCTTCAGCAGCCAAGTGGAATTCTCAGCCAGGAGCTACATGTCTGTGCATCCCCTGCCCCGCTTATGTTTAAGTCAAAAGCAGGACCTGCTCACCCGGGATTCAAAGACAAGCATATAAACTAAGATTTTTGCACCCATGCCTGAAATTGTGTTGAGAAGAGGTTCAATGACAGTACAACTTACGTAGTGATTAATGATATCTCTGGATATCGTTAAACGACAGCATGGAAGAGCAAACCTCATGTCCTACTAAAAAGCTAGTCTAATCCATCACTTTTCAAACCTATATGGTAAAAATGGCACCTCCCTCAGAACTTACGTTTTGTTGTGGCATTCAAGATAGTCATGCCCTGTGTGTGAAGCTGTTCCACTCTTGTGTTACTGAAAGGGCTGCACTGAGCTCATCAGAAATCATTGTGTCTTCTAGAGCTTGCTGTTTTGTAACTTTGACCTGTTCAAAGGGAAATTGCTCCTCCTGGTGTTCTGCTACCTGAAACACAGAAGAGAAGGCTTAACTGCCCTCAGAAAGCCTTGTAGCTTATCTTATCTCCCTTTTCTGGGTGATGAGAAAACTCTCTTCCTGAAATAGTCTCAGCTGAACCATGCAAATTCATGAAGACATATCAAGATTTCTTTCTAGTTTCTGCCATGACCTTTGTTCCTTGAACTAATGTGGTCTTTTAGTCAACTGCTGTAAGAGCAGGCCACAAGTCTGAGTATGGATTGGCATCTGTGCCTCAACTAGTTCATAGAATTTGGTCTGTTACTTATACAAGACTTGTGCTTAGCTAACAGCAATAATGCTGTTTGCTTCTGAAAAGTAATCCCTTAAATTCAGGCCATACTAAGTAAGGTTGGATTTTTTTCTACTTTACAGTAGCACTAGAAATTATAAACGCTGCTGGCTAAAACTAGAATTTTAGTTACATCTATGCAACTGTTTCTTTCATGCATTTTGGTACAAGTCTACTACTGTCCATGCATTTTGACAGCTGTAACAGATTGATCGTTTATAAACAATTCTGTTGCTGAGAACAGATTCTAGTACTTTTTGACTCTGAAGTGAACAGGAGATTAAAAATAAGAAAATCAAGTTTATTCAGAAAAGTCAGCTAGTTTGACAGATATGAATGAGAAGGCACTATCTGAAATAAGCTATTTAAAAATAGATCAATTAGTGCTGCTATGTTAAAAAGGACAGTAATTATAATGTACCCTGATGTCTCTACTATAAGTTGCAGAACTGTTGCTATTTTAACCTGTCATCTCTGCAGACTTATAACAAGAATAAAATAACAACAACAATAATAACAATGAACATGATAAACAAATGTGATTTTCCCCATTGAAGAGAACTACAGTAAAAATAGCAGTAGTCCAACAGCTGGGTTGCCTGCGATTTATACTGAGAAGCAATATATTTTTTGACAGGTGAAATATTATTGCAAACTGAAAGATCAGTCTATCAAACCTACCAATTAGGAAACTGAATGTCTGCTTAGGGACATACTTAGGATCATGTGAACGGCTGCTTAACTGCACACACATAGAACTTAGTGAGGATGTAATGTTTATTGTTAGGACTGCTAAACCGTTTTTATTCAAATTTAGGATGCTTCTTAGACCTCTCTAGGAAAGAGTACTAAGTTATTAAGCTAACACCGAGGATCTTAGGTTGAGTAGCTTCACGCAAATAAAAATCATAAAGTCAATGAACCATTCTTGAGACTTCTCTTATCCAGGCACAGGCAGAATGCAGGACAACTGGCAAGCTGAACTGCATTTTCAGCTTTCAGTACCACAGACCTAGGTGTGGTCCATTTTCTTACGGCTGTGAGATGATGCCTTCCCTTCAGAAAGGAATTTACTATTCTTTTTGTGTGAGAGCAATAATACCCACCCTTAATCTTTGTTTAACAAGGTCAAACAATGTGAGGTAATTTCCATGCCACCTCAGAATCATCCCAAGACACTTAGGCAGGGCAATAGGAATTGTTTAAGGAGTGCAGTTCAAGATTGGCAGTGAATGGAAAAGAATTGGGTGATACTCAAGATTAAGCATGAAGAGGCATTTTATAACAGTGATGGTTTATGGGGCTGTGACTATGTTGAGACATTTATTTAGGACCCCTGTAAGATGTGTTGCTCACTTCATGATGTGTGTTCCTCACTTGGTGATGAACTGTAGATGAAAACGTTCTACTTGATGTATGGGAGTGGGACCTAATATAATTTAACAAGGTTTTTAAAACTCTGGTTCTATCTTTTTTCTGCTTATTGTCCAGCTTCAGATTTCAGAACTGCACGTCAGATCCCAACAATCCCATCCTGCATGATGTGTTTTGCTTCACTGAGTCTGACTTCTTAGAACAGGGTAGTCCTTCCTGATGGGTTTACACATGTGAATTTAGAGTGTTTAGTTGTCTGCTCTAGCAGAATTTACCTGAGATTCCATCTGTCCCCTAGACCATATTCTTGGACACAGATTCCAGAGCAAGGACAGAGGCATCATGGAAGCTTCCTCTCCAGCATGACAGTAGTAGCAACAACCTGCAGTAAATAAATATATAAACAAGTAAATATTTGCAGGCGTTGAAGGATGCAAAAAAAAAGGAAATAGAGTATTTCCATAATTGCCGTGAGACCAATGTAGCAAAGATAAAATCCCCACTTTTAATCACCTTTGAATTCATGAAACATTTACATGTACTTCTTATACAGCCCTACCTTTACTCATAAGGATTCAGTTCTTCCCTCCATAAGAAAATCCACAACTCTTCTCAACTGAACATGCCCCAACTCTGTTCCTTCCAGGACAGGCAAGCAGTCTGTCCCTTCCAACACACTCTTCATAATTCGCAACAGGGAGTTACATAGCTGAACAGTTTTCTCACCTGTGCTCTCCAAAGCTCATCCTTCTCATGAGCCACTCCCCAGTGGGTGCCACCCACCATGGCAAGGAACAAGTTGAGCATAAGGAGCAATAACAGCAAAGGCTGAACAAATTGTGCCTTACATAAAGGGTAGGTCCACTTCATAGTTGATAGGTCATCAGTGATGCTGAGGAAGAGCTCAAAGGTGCTAAAAGTGGGGTGGAAGTGGCTCAACTCATCAAGATCTTGGGTCTGGAAGATGATGTAAAAAGATAACAGAGAAAAGAAAGAAGGAAAAATAAGAAGAAAAGGAAAAAAAAAAACCAATACCGTTATCATGGCCTTGGTCAGAATAATCTGATTATCTCTGTAAACTACAGTATCAGAATTTAGCCCAAACAACAGGACAAGACAGCCACATCTCTTCTGTGTGTCTATGTCTAAGTTTATTTATTTCTAACTACTTCAGTTACCTCTTCTTACAGTCTTCAAGGCTCCTGACTTCAGTGTCCTGTTTGGTAATGATGGGCCAATATTCTGTCCTCACCTCCTGAGTTATCCAAGCCAGTTGGAATGAAAGAAATAGAACAGCTACATCATGCATACATTGTATTGTAGGACAAATCCAATGCTTAGCTATGCTGTATTCAGTCATACACTTTGGGAAATTCTAGGGAACACGTGAATAACAACAGTAAATCCATATTGTTTCTGAAGAATGAGAAGAATGTAGATTCTCTCTTATTACAGTATTGGAATTTTTTGGAAGCTTGATCAAATTCCAGCAATCCTCTTCTCTTCCTCTGAATTAATATCCTAAATTTAGATTCCCTAAATAAGCCCTCCCTTTATGGACCCAAGTTTGTGCAAGATCTCCAAATATTGTCTGCAGGTTAGACAAAGTACTAGCAATAAGACCCAGGCTTCTCATAAAGAAGCGTGAGCATATTTCCATGGAAATTAAGACAGAAGAGGGATCACCTAGTCTGATCTCCTTTACCCTCCAGGACATTACATTTCACCTCTTTACCCACTGTTGAGTTTAACTCACACTTGACTGAAGAATCTTTGCTAGAAAGGCATCTAATCTTGATTAATTCAGGAATAACAAAACTACCAGTTTTTCCCCATGGCTACTTAATCTTACTGTCATGATAATTTTTAAGTGCATTTTGCCTGGCACTTTTTGTGCACTACCCAATTAGGATGAAGAGCTATTTGTAATCTTTTATTTCTGCATTTTCCACCATCATCAGGTCACATATTCACCCCTTTTTACTTTAAAAAAAAATGAAAAATTTAGATGTCTCCCTGTCACACATGTCATTTGGCCCTCACATCATTGTTATGGTTCTTTGTCACATTTTTGAGCATCCTTTTTAGGAGGAGAATATCAAGAACAGACAAAATCAGTCTCACTAATACCATACATGGACAGAAAATCAGCCTGTCACACTAACTCTATTTGCTGTTTATTCACCCACAGACCACAGTAAGCCTTTCACAATTGAGTTCTTTGTCTGCTAGGACATCCAGATCCTTCTGACATAAATGGTTTTTTAGGAAATCCATTCTGTGTAGATAGCATGTGCACTCTTTTTTTCTCAGCTGTCAAGGGACTGCCTTAGATGAGAGTTTTCAAAAAATGGATCTTTATATTGGTATTTACAATGCTAACCAGTCTTCCGTCAGTTCGGTCAATCTGCAAAATAATAGACCATGAAATTGTCCATAGGTCAAGACTGGACGAAATAAGGTCCATTTTATCAGAGTTTTGCTATCCAAATCTCAAAGCAAACAGTCACAGGAACCACTTGAATTAAGGAAAATATATCAGTGACACAGTTTTTCTTTGCTTGTTCAGGACCTCCTTGTCAGAAGAATCAGGCATCTAGCTAATTCTGAGTTGTAAGCTCTTCTTAAACACAGTGAGGACTGAATGTGTGGCTTCAATTTTCTGGCGCTCCAAGGGCAAAGGAGTCCCAAATCCTGGGCCATACTGCTAATGCATTTTTTTCTATTATTATTAAGGATTTGCAAAGATAAAATGTCTAAACAAGGAAAGCAATCCAGAATTTTTGTCTCCATCACCTAAAGATCTAATGGCCTTATCACAAGTAGGCCTTACCACCTGCCAAATATTTGTTCATGACTGCTGTTTTGTATTCTATCAATTTTTTCCATGCCTGCTTTGATTTGTTATTTATATTCAGAGAGTACCGATCAGATCAGGTCCCTTACAAGAGCAAAGCTAGACTTGAGATAAACTCTAAGTCACACACATGTGATCTGATGGGTAAGCATAGCAGCAGTATCCTAGGATCTAAAATAACTCAGTCAACAAAATCTTAAACAACTACACCCTCTTACCTAAATAGATCAGGTGGGGGAACTATGGATCACAGGCTTGGACATGTAGGTGGTAAAGTGTTTTAGTGGATCTAGATGCTTATGCTGTAAAATTATCCTGCGATTTATTCTATAACTCCAATGATACTGTGCTGTTGGGGTTGCACAGGACTGCACTGCACATGTATATCATAGCAACTTGATGTTTTGTCCACACATCGATTGAGATCTGGGATCCCATTCATGTAGGAACTTACCGTGTGAATTATCTAGTCTTTTAATCTGATGATAGAAATGAAAAATAACTTGCACCTCTTCCAGTCCTCTTTTAAAGTTGATCCATCATAGTAAAGATACCACAATACTGAACTGCTCTTAATTTCTTAAGTAATGGTGTCCTTAATATTTTAGTCATCAATCTACCCTACTTTTTCACTTTTTGGCATACCAAGTTGAATCAAGGGTCTGGTTTTGGATCTTGTCTCTTTGATCATCCGGTCCTCTATCTTGTTTCATCATCTGGTTAGATGGCAGCATAGGCAAAATAAAGTATAGATTTAACCGTAATTCCGTGAACGTAAACCTGAGAACTAATTTAATTTTCTTCAGGTTTGTAGCGTACCAGTGAATACTATACTGAATATTTTTTGCTCTGAGGATGAAAAGTACTATCCAAATGATCCAGTGGGAGGACTCTAATGTGCTGACAGCAGAATGACTTGATGCTCTAAATCAACATATTGAAGTGTCTGTTAGACAGTTGGGTGTAAGACTGTTTTTCTGCTCCATCAAATTGTTGTTCTATTTATGCCCCAAACCATAAACATCAATATCCATGTTATAGCAGTATTACAGTCAGCATTTTTATTTATGCAAATGCAGAACTTTTATATTTTTTTAGAGTGTTTTCCCCAATAAAGGGGAAATGGCATGTTTTCCAAAAGTGTCACCGCTTATTGTTACCTATCATCAAGGAGGTAAACCATTCAAACAATACTCAGACATGGAAACCAGAACCAGTAGTGTCTCGCCACCCTCATTGTAAAAAATTTCTTCTTTATATCTAAGCTAAAGCTATCAGTTTAAAACCATTGCCCTTGGTCCTGTCACTACAGGCCCTGGTAAAAAGTCTGTCTTCATCTTTCTTATAAGCCCCCTTTATATATTGAAAGGCCACAAGAAGTTCACCCCAGAGGCTTGTTTTCTCCAGGCTGAACAACCCCAACTCTCTCAGCCTTTCTTCACGGGAGAGCTGTTCCAGCCCTGTGACCATTTTTGTGACCCTCTTCTGGACCAGCTCTAAAAAGTTCATGTCCAGAGCTGGACACAGTGCTCCAGGTGGGGTCTCACAAGAGCAGAGGGGCAGAATCACCTCCCTTGACCTGATGGACACACTTCTCTTGATGCAACCCAGGATATGATTGGCTGTCTTGGCTGCAAGCACACATGGCTGGCTGACATACAATTTTTTATCTACCAGTATCCCCAAGTCCTTCACAGGGCTGCCCTCAAGCCATTCATCTCCCAGTCTGTACTGATCCTGGTGATTGCCCCAATCCAGGTGCCGGACCTTGCACTTGGCCTTGCTGAACTTGACAAGGTTCACATGGACCCAATCCTTAAATCTCTCAAGGTCCCTCTGGATGGCAACCCTTCCCTCTAGCATCTCAACAACACCACTCAGCTTGGTGTCATCTGCAAGCTTGCTGAAAGTGCACTCAATTCCACTATCAATGACACACTGATAAAGGTATTAAATAGTATTGTCCCAATACGGACCCCTAGAGTCACCACTTGTTACAGGTTTCCACTTGGATATTGAGCTATTGACTGTAACTCTTTAGGCATGGCCATCCAGCCAATTCCTTATCCATGTAACAGTCCATCCATTAAACCCATATGTCTCCAATTTAGCAGCAAGACTATCACAGATGACCATATCAAAGGCCTTACAGAAGTCCATGTAGATGATACCTGTAGCTCTTCCCTTTTCCACTGATGCAGTCATTCCATTGTAGAAGGCCACTAGATTAGTCAGGCAAAACTTGCACTTGGTGAAGCAATGTTGGCTGTCTTTAATCACCTCCCTGTCTTCTGTATATTTCAACATATCTTCCAGGAGGATCAATTCCATGATTTTACCAGGCACAGAGGTAAGTCTGACTGGTTGGTAGTTCCCAACTCTTTTTAAAAATGGGGGGGATGTTTCCCTTTTTCCAGTCACTGGGGACTTTACCTGACTGCCATGACTTTTAAAACATGATGGAAAGTGGCTTGACGACTACATCAGCTAATTCTCTCAGGGCCTTGGGATGCATCTTGTTGGGTCCCATGGATTTATGTATGTTCAGGTTCCTTAGGTGGTCTTTACCCTCATCTTCACTTACAGTGGGTGGGAGTTCATTCCTGTAGTCCCTGCCTGGAGGTTCAGGGGCCTGAGAGATGTGGGGAAAGAGATCGCCATTGAAAACTGAGCCAAAAAGATTGTTTAGTACCTCAGCCTTCTCTACGTTGGTTGTTACCAGTTCTCTGGTCTTATTTATCAGGGGAAGGGGGTGTACATTTTCTTTAATCTTCCTTTTCTGGGCCAATGTACCTGTAGAAACCAGCTTTATTATTATTTTCAATTGAAAGAATTTCCAAATTCAGCTCCATTTTTCCTGGTCCCATCCATACACATTCAGGTAGCATCCCTGTATTCTTCCCAGGATATATGTTCCTGGTTCCACTTCCTGTGCATTTCCTTCTTACATTTCAGTTTGACCAGGAGGTCCTTACCAAGTCATGCTGGTCTCCTGCCCTTCTTGCCTTGCACATGGGAATCCAGAGCTCTTGTGCTCTAAGAAAAATGCCCTTAAAGAACTGCCAGCTCTGTTCAGCTCCTTTAACCCTGAGGGCAGTTTCCCAGGGGGTCCCATCCACTAACTCCTCAAACAACTGAAAGTTTGCTCTCCTGAAATTCAGTGTCCTAACTCTACTCTTGACTTGGCCTATATCCATCAAAACTGTGAATTCCAACAGGAATGCTTCCTGCTCATCTCCTGTGCCTTGTTTTGTGACGTTCTGTGGACTGAACACATTCATCCATCCTTGCCATTGTTAGTGGAAAGGATGTGACTTCTTTCACATTACCCAGCAAGAATTATGAATACTTCCTACCACCCAGTGTTTCCCCTTAGGATGACTTCCTAAGTAAAGGAGAAATATTCCTTAAATGGTTTTCAGGTACCAATCTTGGAATCTGTGGCCGCTCTGCCAATAGGCTTGAGCTACAGTCCTAGCCTGTACTTAAGTACAGAATAATTCTAAAACTGCTAGGCTGTGTAGCTCTCCCTGGTACATTTATTAATATTTCTCTCACCATCAAAGGAATCCTTTAATTTACCTTCTGGATCATGATGGTAAAGGGTCCAAGCATCTGGAAGCCTCGTGCGAAGTACATGGCATTGCACCATCCTGGCATCAGGGTAAAGGAGTTGTGGTGGTGAGATGGATCACCATGATTACCAGAATCATGCAAGCATATGTGATGCTGCAAAGGAAGAAGAGGCAAAAATGCAGTTAGAATGACACCTACTCCTACATTGCTGCCACATCAGGTACCTTCCATTTGCTAGTATTCCTTGACAACATCCTCCCTCTGTCTATAAAATGCAAATGTTGTTACATACATCCCAGAAACAAAATCTCTCTGAAATCTGGAATATTGGTACCTTACATTACCATGTGGGAAGGCCCTCCCAAGATGGTCTGTCCAAAGTATTTGGTTGCTCCAAGTCTGAAGATATTTGGAACTTAACAGGTATCCACTGTTCACATTTGTATTCAGTCAAATTGCAAACTGAGGAAATATTGTAAGTGTAAACTGTTCTCTCTTATCTCCAAGATCAGTATTATTATAGCTCCTGTCACTGTGACCAGCCAGAGGCTATCCTCAGGAGTGACATAAGATTCCTCTAAGAGGAAACTGACCAGTATATGACTGTAAGGGTCCATTTAAGCAGGCCCAGTGGTGACCAACACAAAAAAATCCTCCTCATGATATAGCTTCTGTCATAATTCTCAGTGTTATTATGAAACTCTGCAGCCTAGAGAACTCAGCATGATTTAGTTTAAAGAAAACAGATTTAGGTCTCAACTGCTAACAGAAGATGGCTACCCGATCACCTTATAGTCAGGTTCACAGTTGTAGACAACCTAGTACAGGATGATTTTCAGAGATTCTGGACATCTGAAGTGCCAAAGAGTTCACCTATATGCCTATTCCACAGAATATGGCCACGGATACTTCATACTGTCCATTGAACTGGGGCACTAAAAATCACAAGCAGTTCTTCCTCATCCACAAAATGGAAATAAATCATCACTTTCTGAAAGGTATTGATAAGAAGAAATCACCATTAACACCTTTACATACCTTTCACACACAAGAGCAAGAGAATGAGGGAAGAGATTTTAAATAAAAAAGGCAGACTAATACAGAGTCACATAATAGCCACTTGTTTAGCTAGTCCACATAGTAGGGACCTGCCCCTTATCTTGACTCCATCATGTAGCCTAAATATCCCCAGAACTGGAAATAGCCAGCTTCAGAATGCCTTAAAGTTTTGGACAATGTTGTAGGATTTAAAGTGTGCTTCTCAGGAGGAAGTGCTATTTCTTCCTTTGTAGTGACACACTACAAGTATGAGAAATACTGCTTAGACAGGCACACACAATGCCCATAACTGAATAACAGGCAATCTTTTGCAGTGTCATGCTGAATTTCAGTGCAGGCCATAAAAGCTTATTCAGGAACTCCAAATATAGGACATACTGAAGCCTATGTTGCCTTGTTATTGTGACCTGCGAAAACTAGGGTGAAGCTCTTGAGTTGCTCCATTACGTCTGCAGGGTGGCCACCTTTTGCAGTCATTCCTGGTGGCTGACACTAAGGACTCCCTATGTAGGCCGAGTCACTTTGGGGTTTGAAGGGGACACAAAGTATCAGATACCTGCAACAGTTTCTGTACATATATAGTATTGCCTCTTTGATTTGTTTTGGTGTTGTCTTGAAGTTTCAGAGGTTGGTAAATGCAGCACATGGTGAAGAAGTTCATGTAGTGCACACAGAACACAGACAGGATACAGAAATAGCTACATCCATATTTATTCCTCTTCAGACTCACAGCTCAGTAACAGGAGCAAGATCAAGGATCACCCATGCCATCAGAAAAGAAACCAGACTAAATTTACATTGTCAGTCAGGAGAAGAGTAATCTATGAACAACTCACCACAGGCTGGGAAGACTGTCATTGCCAAAGTTATCACAAATCAGGATGAAGTAGAACCTTTCAGTCTTAGCTGTACCTCGCTCTTCCTGTCAAACACAAATGATTGAAATGCCACAGGCAGAGAAAGACTAGTAGAAAAAGCAACAGTTTTTCTCACTGACCTATTCACTGCTTTACTGCCACTGCAGATATTTAAAGACAAATCACCCCATAATGACAACAGAGAAAGAACGTAGCATAAGGGAGCACTTAGGAGGAAAAGAGGACACTGGGATCAGGCCATTATTGGCCATTCAGCCCAAATTTCTCTGAGGTTGTGCCAGTCATGATGTTCCACTGTAACAGCTGCACTCCTGGCTTTCAACATATGGGCAATTCTAACACGTTGGGGTATTTGGAAAGCATGCAAAACTTTCTCAGTGAAAGAAGGAGTTAGAGATAAAATAATATCATTCTTTCTTGCTTGATGTGATGGTAAGTTCCAAGATAGAATGGTTATCTTCCCATGAGTCAGTCTCAGTGACATCATACAAGGTGGAGGTCAAAGGGCCAAAATTCCATTGGACGTGTTTTGGTTTCTGTATGAGGTGCTGAAACATCTAATTAATGAGATGGGAACAGCTGAAACAATAAAAACATTTACTCAAATCAATCTCTATAGTCTCCCCAGACTTCCTAACTGACTTGCTGTCAGGGAGAATGGCCTTGTCAGTCTCTGATGTTAACAGGTTCTCAAGCTAAGTAGGGTGACCTGGGTCACTAACAGGGTGGAAAGCCTTCCAAAACTCCCCATGTGTTACAAGCATTACCAGTCTAACAGAGGTCTACTTCTCCCTCAGCCAGGACTGGCCCAAGTCCTTGCTGTAATGTTAGGTGATTAGTAATAGATGTTTCATCTCTTAAGTCACTACTGACCAGAATAGTTCTCTGAAACACTGTGTGATGATGCAGGAGTTGCAAAGTTCTCTCTGGATCAGCAGAGATCCAGTCTTATCATGTTTTACCTTGGGCTGTTGCATTTCTGCATCTAAATGGTCCCATACACAAGTAATCCATCAACTTCTCTTCAGGAGTTGATACAGTGACAACAGTTTTAGGTAATCTGAATGCTGTTCACGTACTCCTTATCGCATTGCCTTTCAACCCTGCTAGCTTGGATGGAGTGAGTCCCTTGTTATTAGGAACCTGGTCCAGGGCTTCCTGCCCCATGTTATTCCTTTCATAAGCGAGGATGAGATTGTACATATGTCAGGCAAAGGCCTTGTTGAGTTGAAGAACCAGGATATAGAGAATAGTGTTACCTGTAGAGGTCAGACAGAAAATGAGATCTTATGTGAAAAAATAAGTTTAAAAACCCCATCTCCTAGCTATGACAGACTCTTAGGTGGTCCCTACTCAGTTTCAGTAACAGAAAGCAATTTGCTAGTACCCTGCAGCCCCTCAGTGCACTACAAACACATCCACTTCAAAATCCAAGGGTAGCAGTTGCCAAGTAGAGGTCTTCAATATACAAAAAAAATAATCAAAACCATAATTTGCTGCTGAAATGAAGTGGATGCGATAGGTTATCAGTGCAAGAGCCTCTTTATTTTCTGATTTAGGAATAGTCAGTTTAGAACTGAGCATTTAGTCTAGGTAGCTCTAGGACTACAACCTCTCCAGAGCAGATTGTTTTCTCCCCCTGGTTTTCAGTTGATATTGTTTCTATCTTTGAAATTCCAGTCTTGGGCATATTTTTTTATATGCACAAGCTTACAGTGTTTTGCTTTGTCATAGGGCACAGACCTTGCTGAGCTGAAACTAATATTAAAGCGTTTCTTTCACAAAGGACATCAACAGAATTTAGACCTCGGGAAATTGGAGAGATCAGCTGTCCATTGTTGACTTACAGATTGTCTTCGGAAACCTTGACATGGACCATATTCTTATGGGCCATATACTGTGTATGATTCACGACCATCATCTCTCTTCCCTGCTTTTCATTTGTCTGTTTGAACCTCATACTTCAGCACTCTAAAGTAAGTGATAGCAGTCAGAAACAGTTTGGGAAAATGGGATAAACTGTTTGATGGCACATTATTTGATATCAGCTCCATTTTCAATGAGTAAATATATAATTTCCTCACTCCCAGCACAGGCAGCAAAAGACAGAAGACTCCCTAAACAGCAGTTAAAAGAAATGCAGGAAATAACATGAAGTTAAACAAAACTAATGAAAAAGTCAGAAAAATTCTGTATCAAAAATGTCTCCCTTTACACACCACCACTTAATTTTAAAGTCCCACAACAATCCAAAATGAAGGTGAAAGCAGCAGAGGAATCCAGAGGTTTTTCCTGAGAAATAGAGAAAACAATTTTGACAAGAATCAAGTAATAGCAAAGGGTAAAGGCAGAACAAATAAAAGATGTATGTTCTTCAGAGGGGAAGGTGGAGGGAGTAAGACCTTCCAGGCTGGGCAGGAACCACATAAGAAACAAACAATGAGGAAATCCATGAAGACTTTTAAAACTGAGAAACAGCTTTGGACCTACAGCCTCAAAATGACAGAAAATACAGCAAACCTGTCAAGAACAGGGCTAAGTAGATTCAACAACCTCTCTGGGCAACCTGCTCCAGTGCTTAATGACCCTCACAGTAAAAAGTTGTTTCCTGATGTTCAGACAGAACCTCCTGTGTTTTAGTTTGTGCTGATTGCTTCTTGTCTTGTCACTGGGCACCACTGAAAAGAGCCTGTCTCTACCTTCTTTAAACCCTCCCTTCAGATTTTTGTACATGTTGAACAGCCCCAGCTCTCTCAGCCTGATCTCATAAGAGAAAAGCTCCAGTCCCTTAACCATCTCAGTGGCCTTTTGTTGGTCTCTGTGCAGCAGCTCCATCTTTCTCTTGTACTGAGGAGCCCAGAACTGGACACAGGACTCCAGGTGTAACCTCACCAGTGCTGAATAAAGGGTAAGGGCCACCTTCCCTCAACCTGGTGGCAGCACTCCTCCTAATGCATCCCAGGTTACCATTAGCCTTCTTTGTGGCAAGGGCAAATTGCTGGCTCATGTTCAAACTGCTGTCTATCAGGAGCCCCAGGTCATTTTCTGCAAAGTCACACAGCCAGAGGCATGATTTATAACAGGGTTTTTTTCAGGGTTTCATTTTGATTCAGGAGCGAAAGAAGCAATCCCCCTTGGCTTTAGGGGATGGAGAGAAAGAACCATTCATATAATGAAATACGAGCAGAAGCATAACAAAGAGTTATTTACAAACATCAGAAAGGACAAACAAGAGGGCAAAGGAATAGTTTATACTAATCTTAACTCCTGTTTATAATCTTAGCTTCTATTTATGGTCTCTGGGCAAACCAGAACCTGAGTGAATGTACCAACTTAGCATTCATGTAAGTTCATCTTGCACAGAGAAGAAGTGCAAGGCCTACGTCCCACTTCAATCTTATTTTATAGTGTGAGTAGGATTTAAAGGAGTTCATCAGCCTCATAACAGTTCTAGTTACAAAGACTATTTTTTCCCCTCATAAAAGTAGTTCACTTAAAATGCCTTTGCTTCGGTGAAATGTCACTGTATTTACAGCGAAGTAAACAAGAGTAAGATTAGATCACCATCTGTAGCAGATTTTATCTGAAAAATGTCTATGTCTCTGAAAAGTTGGTTTTATTAAGCAAGTACATGGAGAGATAAGTGACCCTGTTTTGGAAGCTTTCATGCCTTCTCAGTCTGAAATTAGACAATGTCCCAGTAGCAGTTTTAGAGGAGAATTCTGAAAATTCAAATGGGATGGAAAGATCTATGATGCTAGTTTTAGTAGGAGTATTGTAATGCTATCGTGATAGTAATGGAAATGGAAGTGTAATAGACACATATGTACATGCATATATAAACACAACTTACATATATATATAGACACCACAGGTATATACATAAATAGATAATACAGTTGTCTGACTGAAAAAGAATTGGAAGGCCAGTATAAAAAGTAGTAGTACATTTCTCTCCTAAACTTATTTGCTTACACTCATAGACCACAGCATTGACAATTAATAAATACAGCAGCCAGATAATATAAATCACCTAGTTACTTTTATTGCACTATTCCAGTTTTTGCTCAATGACAATTCAGACCAGTAACATCTTAAGGGAATAACACAACTTCACAGAGAGAAGGAATATGACAAGCAGGTTATAGAATTTGAAGAAATTAAAACAGAAATTAAATTTGGAGATGAAAACAGTTCTGGTTTTTCATTCTTTTCCATCTATCCTGCAGAAATTTTCTGTTCTTCAGGGGGTAATTCAGCTTTACAGTACAATGAGAAGATGATTCTCTCCTACAACAAGGAGCTAGGCTGATCTCTGTCTTCTCTATTTTTCCAAATCCCAGCAGCAGAGGGATTTTCAGAGAGAGCTTTCTATTATAGACAGATTGATATTTTGTGTCAAGAGAGAGCCTTACTGACTGTTAGCAAACATATAATTCTTCTTTACTTTTTCTGCTCTGGTTTTAAGTGACCAGTGCTTTGAAGTGTCTGCTAATTGCCTAATACTTCGTATCCCAAGTTTCGTACTATCACAAAAATTTCCTGATACTCAGCCCACACTTTTGCTTATCAAATTTCAGCCCTTTACTTTTTGTTATATTTTCTGGGACCTTTTTGAAAAATTGCTCTCTATGGTTGTCATATGCTTCTTTGAAGCATGAGATGAGATAAGACGAGACAAAATGAGACAAGATGAGATGACGTGACATGACATGAAGACTATAGGAGAGAAAAGGAGAAAGAAATGCATTCACATGAGAAAGAAATAGGAAAGACAGATGCCTAAATTACAAGACTCTGTGCACTCTGAGGCAATGATGTTTAATTTCAAAATGGTAAATAAGAAATTCTGTGTATATTTATATTTTTTTCAGACAGCTACATTTTGAATGGACAGTATCATTGACACAAAGCCATATGTATTACTTTAAGTAATTACTTTAAGGGGAATACTGTGAAGCCATGGCTGATGTCAAGCATTTCTTTACATGTGTGGACCCACAGAACAACAGTCCCATTTGAGAAGAAAGCATTATTCAACAATACGGATACATTGGCACAGTCTGCCCTTTTGTTCTCAGATCATTATTATGCTGACTTTGGTTTGGTGTTACTTTCCACACACATCAGAATTTCATATTGCATAATCCCATTCACAGTTGAGGTTGCTGAATTTTTTCATAGTTGGATACAGAAGAGCTGATGCTCTTGGGCACAAGACAAAACATGGTATGAAGTTTCAGATTAGTTGTATTGGTGCTGTAATGGGTGATAGTGAGGTCATTAACAGCTCTTGTCATAGTCATTATATTACAGAGTTAACACCAAGGATTAAAATTTGGTGCTTCTTTTAACTGTGTCAGGCTGCCTGCAGGCTCAGACAGGCATTTCCCCCTGGGTAACAGTTCCACTTCGGTACATGGACTAAAGACTACTTCCTTTTTCTTTTTTAATGAAGACCAAACTTCTGGAGCAAAGTTCTCTGACAAGATTTGCCTGCCTTCCTTGGCAATTCTGAAGTTAGGGTTTATGGAAGACACATGGTCATGCTACTCGATTAGACAGATCGTAGGAAGAAGAAGAAAAGGAGGACAGATGCAAAGACACTCAGCATGTCAGAAATAAAGACATCACAACAGTTTAGCCCACAGGTAAATGCCAAAGTAGATGAGATAGTAACTGTTGTGTCTGAAAACTTATCCAGTGGCCCCAGGATTCTTGATGTCAGTTCCCCTTTCCACTATTGCCTTCGCCAAACTGATGGTTTCTTTCACCACAGCAATGTGAAGAGTACTCTCCCCTGCAACACACAATTTTCTTGTTGTCTAACACACCATACCAAAGGTGCCAGAAGCACTTCAACAATTTGAAATCCACAGCACAGCCACAGATATTTTATTAATGAAAAACTGAGAGATGCTTGGGAAAATACATAATTTTCAAAGATTTCCATGGGAATGAAACAAATATTCATGGAACTAGGGAGATGAAGTCTATGATTTCTTTAGAGTCTTTTGAAATTCTCAATTCAGACTCTTGTCTTATTTGCATGTCAGGAGTGACTTTGTAGAACACATTCTGGATTTTTTTGTGTGAGAAAGACCACAGGATCTGGCCTAGTTTCTTATCCATGCAGTCTTTAATTTGTTTTGACCCAAAGGCAGATA